CAAAAGAAGTATACAGATCAGAAAGAAAACAATGTTTCCTAGCATGTAAGGAATGAAAATCGAAACATACTCATCAATAACATCATCAATGATCTCAACACGAAAAACGGAATGACACTCGGATGGATGTTTCATGGCATCCAGAATATTAAAATGGACAATAATATCACCAAATTCCATGGACAATGTACCATCATACACATCAATCTTGGTTCGGGCTGTTTTCAAAAATGGTCTACCTAAAATGATTGGGACAGATCCATGGGAGAATCCCTCCTCCATATCAAGCACATAGAAATCAGCAGGAAAAATGAGTTCACCAACCCGAACTAAGACATCCTCAATGAAACCTGTAGGGTGGGCTACACTCCTATTTGCCAATTGTATCACCACACCCGTAGGTTGCGAGAGGTCCAAGAGATAAAGAATTAAAAATGGACAAAGGCATAACATTAATTGAAGCACCCAAATCAAGCATGGCATTCTCAAATTTATTATTGCCAATAATACAAGGTATGCGAGAATGTACCTGGGTCCTTACATTTCTCGGGAATGTAAGGAACAGATTTACCTATCAAAGCAGACACATTTCTGCCCATGCCGATTGTCTCACTGCCCTTCATCTTCCTCTTGTGGGTGCACAACTCCTTCGAGAATTTAGCATATCCGGGAATTTGCTTGATGGCATCAAGCGGAGGTATGTTCACCTCAACTTTCCTGAAGGTCTCTAGAATCTCTTTATCAACCTCTTCCATCTTTTTGCTTGGAATTGCTTTGGGAGGGAATGGAAGAGGGATAGAAGGCTATTGCAGAGTCGAAGCTAGGGCTGGAAGAAGGTCCATCTATATGCAATTTTCGGCTACCAACTGGTTGCTCGAGTGCGAGGAACTAAGGCGGCTACGGATGAGGGTGGAGGTGTTGCAGTGGGTATGTCAATCTGTTTCCCGACCTCAATGTGATGGCACTCACATTCTTAGGATTAACCACGGTACTGTGTAGGGAGCTTGTCCGAATTTTGATTTTGCAATTGATTCACGAGCAGTAGCTAGTTGACCAATCTGGTTGGTTAAACTCTGAATGGAGGCATCATTTTTCTGTTGGTACTCGTATGTTCATCTCAGCCATTTGTTTGACCAATTCCTCTAATGAAGGTGAAGAAGGTTGAGGAGCTGGTGCTTCATTTTGCTGCCTCGATATTGTTGTTGCATTGGTGGAGGCACATAAGGTCTGTTTGGACCAGCGAGAATTCGAAATGGTGGTGATGGCAAAGGATTTTGCTGCTTGTTGGTGTTGTCGATTGGACCATCTCGGATTTGGGTGATTCCTCCACCCTGGATTGTATCTATTGCTTGAGAGGTCAGAATTATGTTGTTGGTTCGGAGCCCTATTATTGAAAATGTTTGCTTGCATAAGCTTGTGGAGCTCCGAACACTGTAGACTCATGTAATAATTGGCAGCAATCGGTGGGATGCTCAATTGAAGTACAAATGCCACAAACCCTTGCAGGTGGTGCAGGTCTCTGATTTGCAGCAAGTTGGGAGACTAGGGTGGTGAGGGCATCAATCTTATTTTCTAGCTTCTTCTCCACTAAATCTGATGAACCCACATCATGTACACCTCTAAGGACTATGGCATCACTCCTCTTGTTAAATTGTTGGGAATTGGATGCCATCTTCTCAATTAAATCTCTAGCAGCAGTAGGTGTCATGTCTCCTAAAGCTCCTCCACTAGCTGCATCTATCATACTCCTATCCATTGTGTTCATCCCCTCATAAAAGTACTGCAGCAGTAGCTGTTCTAATATTTGGTGGTGAGGGCAACTTGCACAAAGTCTCTTGAACCTCTCCCAATACTCGTATAAGCTCTCTCCCATCTGTTGCTCGATACCCGATATATCCTTCCCGATGGCAGTGGTCCTGGAAGCATGGAAAATTTCTCTAGAAAGACTCTCTCGAGATCATCCCAGCTCGTTATGGGACCAGGAGCTAAGTAGTACAACCGAGTCTTTGGCAAGATCCTCCAAAGAGAAAGGAAAAGCCTTCGGGTATATGTGATCTTCGAGGAACATTTTGTGGCTTCATGGTGGAGCGAGACTATATGGAACTCCTTGAGATGCTTGTATGGATCCTCACACGCACGACCATGAAACTTGGGCAACAAATGGTACATCCTCTTCAGGGTATTGGATACATAAATTTACATAAGTGAAATCAGGTGCAGCCATCTCCCTGAGAGTCCTCTCACGAGGTCCAATAGGTTGAACACCCATGTTATTAGTTTGGAAATTATCAGAAGAAGGTATATTAGGTGCAGTACTCTCACTATGACTATCTAATGGTTCAGACTCAAGAGATGGATTCCTAGAATGTCTAACTAATCTATGAAAAGTTCTGTCTATCTTGGGATCAAAAGGTTGTAAAAGGTCAGGATTGCTCCTAGTCATGCACCATATTCAACAATTCATGTATTTCCCAAGAGTTAAAAAAAAATTCCTAAAATAAAATCAGTTGTTTACTGGAAAGACAACGGTAGACCGTGAACAAGTACACCAGGTAGGTTCCCAGGAAAGAGAGGTGGGTCACTAATGGACACGCTTAAGTACCAAATCTTTCCTAGATAGAACCCTCCTAGACATGCACTCTCACACTAGCAAGCTATATCCAGAGTTTCCTATGAGAATGGAAATTATAAATTTTTTTTAAATAAAGCTAGAAAAACAAATTAGAGATGAAATTGTTTTTTTTTTGAATTATTATTTATATATTTTTTTAATATTTATTTTTTTATTTTTGTTATTTTTTGTTATTTTCATTTTTAACCCAAAAGAGTTTTAGAACACAGATCGGCTATCAAAATAGTATTAAGAGAAGTAAGAATTTTAACTTAAATAGAAAATCAAATAAAATATTCAATTAACTGAAAATCAAATAAAATATCCAAATAACAACAAATCAAATAAAATATTCAAATAACTGGAAATCAAATAAAATATTTAAATAACTAAAAATCAAATAAAATATCCAAATAACGAGCAAATCAAATAAAATATTCAAATAACAACAAATCAAATAGAATATTAAATAACTAACAATCAAATAAAATATCCAAATCAAATAAAATATTAAATAACTAACAATCAAATAAAATATTTAAATAACTGAAAATCAAATAAAATATTCAATTAACTGAAAATCAAATAAAATATCTAAATAACTGAAAATCAAATAAAATATTTAAATAAAATAAAATAAAAACAAAAAAATGAAAACGAAACGAAAATAAAAATTGAAAACCTAGACAAAAATCTTGGTCCCTGACAGCGGCGCCAAATTTGATCGATGTCGTACTCGGTCAAATAATTAAAACAGATAAATGTAGTACTAGGAAGCTTTCCTAGGTCGTCTCCCAAAGACCACAAATTTCTATCAAAGCTTATCAATTTTTAGTAACAAAAAATTAAAAGGGGAGTTTTTCAAAATTAAAATATTAGGTGAAACAGAACAAAAGCAAATTATAAAACTGCGGATTAAAAACAGATTAAAATGTAATTGATTTTCTGATTCTAATGCAGTGTCACTTATCCTAGATTACGAAATTAATTCGAAATTAACCAACTAAGCGAAGATAAATCCCAAATTATATTCTAATCCAAAATTAATCAACTAAGCGAAGATTAATCTCAAATTAGCTTTAACACTTGTTCCAATATGAAATTAACCAACTAAGCGAAGATTAACCCCAAATTATCCTTATATAATTAAGCATTGCATACATCACATAATTTCATATCTAACACAGAATTAAGCAAACTGTGATATAAGTTTCGGTTTATTAAGCATAAACAGATTATAATTCAATACTGAGATTAGAAGATGAAGAGTTAAGAGAACAAAAAAAATGAAATTGAAGAACAAAACCTCAAAGCTCTACTGCATTCTCCTCGGAAAATCAATATCAAGATTTAACTATCCATGGAAAATCGAAATCGCAAAAGAAGAGACATATGCAGGGCAGAATTGGTAGTGAATTTTCGACTTCAATTTTGGCCACCTTATGATTGGAATTTGACAATGCTCATGAGAGAGACAATTGTAGCCTTGCCTCTTAGCTTTACAACGCACTTCGAATCGCCCAATTTGGAGTGTAGTAGCTCCAGATATTTCCTTCTCACTGGGCAAAGGTCGGCTGTGCGATGCGGCTTTGCGTTTTTTTTCCTTCCTCCCTTCGATATCTGGCTGCCTCTCCTTTATATGGATAACCCTAACCCTAATCTTAATCTAGGTTTGGGTTCAACTAGCCCACAAAACACATAAAATATTAAAAACAAAAAAAAAGCTTATTCTAATGGACAGTTGGCATGACATCTGACCCAATCTTCCAAGCGCAAAATTGCTTTAAACTGTCCTAAAAATAATAATGAGCAAAAATTAAATCAAATAGATCCAAAATAATTAAAATTTGAATTATTGGCCCAATGAAACCCAATCAATGAAAATGCATTAATAATAGACAATTAAACACAATGCACCAATTAAGATAAGTACATAAAGATAAGAAAATGCGGAAAAATAATGGCTCATCAATGATTTCCTATCTACATTTGTTTTTCTGAATTTCATCCTAGATTTAAATCCTATTCCTGATTTGTCAAAAATTAGTTTTTGTGACCCAAGTAAAACGTCAAGATTAGCTTGACCTTGTGTAAATCTTGAAACGGTTTGTGATAAAAAATCAATTTTCTTTTGTAATTCTGAACAATCATTACAGAGTTTATTACATGCACAATCAGAATTATCATGAATTAATTTTAAGAAGTCACGATCAGTTTCATCTTCAAGGATTTTCTTTTCAAGAGAGTCTACTTTATTTACTAGCCAATTATTCAATCCTTTTAGCCTATCATTTTCTTTTTGTAGTTTCTTAGCCTCTTCATGCATTTCATTAAATGCTTTTTGTAATGAATTATAATTCACTAAATTTGAAGAAGAATTAGAACTTACACTGCTGGATTCAAGGTTTTGATTTGCCATTAGACACAGGTTGGCTTCTTCATTGTCAGAATTGTCTGTTGAAGAAGTGTCATTGTCATCCCATGCTACATAGGCTCTTCTTTTGACTTTCTCTTCTTTCTTGTCATTATATTTGTTCTTTTCTCGGGCACTCCATTCTTACATGGCCCCGCTTACCACGACCATAGCATTTAAAGTTAGAAGAATCAGCTTTTTTCTCATACCTTTTATGTTTTTTCCTTGTCTTGAATCTTTTTCTTGAGAAACTTGTTGAATTTTCTCGACAAGCGATCCAAGATTCTCACTTTCCTCCTTTGATTCTTGATTTCTTTCTTCAACTTTGAGTGCTATACTTCTGCTTTTCTTCTCGAGAGACTTCTTGTTCATTAAATCTGTTAATTTCCATTTCATGTTCTCTCGAGTTTGCCAAACAGAGAAGTTGTTGTCATGACGAACAAATCCTTTGACTTCGAAATTGCTCGTGACATTTGGCTACCATGACCTGTCAAGACATTTCAAGACTTTAATATTTAATTCTTCTTTATCAAAGGTTTTACCTAGGCCCATTAGATGATTAATGATGTGAGTGAATCGCTTCGCACATCTGCAATGCTTTCACCAGTTTGCATTTTGAACAGACTCATATTCTCTTATGAGAGTATGCTTTCTGGCTCTCTTTACATCTGTCTGTCCCTTCATGAGTAACCTCAAGAACATCCCACATCTCCTTGGCGATTTACATTGGGAGACCCCGAAAAACTCATCCATGTTAAGTGCGAAGTAATTATATTTTTAGCGAGTGCAATCATTTTGAACTTTTTTCTTTTCCTCATCATTTAAATCTGGACCATTCTTTTTCCGTAATTAAAGGGCCATTAGCAATTACATCCCAAACATTTCTATCAATAGACTCAATAAAGATCTTCATCCTAATTTTCCAAAAAGGATAATCTGCTCCACAAAACAGTGGATGTCCGTTAATAGAAGCTCCCTCGAGAAAATGGTAACTGCTTTCGACCATGGATCGAAGAACTTGAATAACTTTCAAGCACCTCGCTCCGATGCCAATTGTTAGAAAAGAAGGTTGAGATCAAGAGGGGGGTGAATTGATCTTTAAAAGATTTTCGCAATTAACAGATTATCTATTTGTAAAAATAAGATTTCGAGATCTGTTCTTGAATCACAAAGCAATCAATCAACAATAAACGCAGCAATGAGAATTAAAAGAGGAGAAAGGTTTAGAAAGATATCACCGGTGTTTATACTTGGTTCACCCAATACCAGGGCTACATCCAGTCTCCAGCCAAATTCCAGCTGGGTTCCACTAGATCAAATGTTTTACAGATTACAATCTTACACTTAATCTACCACAAGAACCACAATTCCAGTTCGTGCACCTAACCTTTCACCAAGAACCAAATTCCAGTTCTTGACAACCTCTACAACCAAATTCCAGCTGCAGAGAAACCAGTGCCCACAATTCCAGGCACCAAACAATACAAAAAGAATGTAAGGAAATGAAAAGAAGAAACTAGAATACTCAAACCAGTTTTATTCAATTCTGCAGTGTGTTTCTTCTCCAAAAGAAAGCAATTTGCCTCAAGAAAGAATTTCAAAGAACTTCACAAAAACTGGCGCGAATCTTTCTTGAAAGAGTGCTAAAGTTTGCTTGCTTGATTGCTAAAGATTGATGTTCAATTGTTGTATTTGAAATGTTCAAGCCAAACTATTTTTATAGAAGATTTTCAAAACTGCTGGTTTAATCAATCTATTAAAAAATCTTTTAATCTGTTAAAAGTGTAGTTTTAATCTGTTAAAACTTCTTTTAATCCATTAAAGCGTTCTTGATTATTTAACAGATTTGTTTTAACTGATACGACAACGTTTGTATCAATTAAAACTCTTTACAAAAAATCTTCTAATTTGATTTAATCGATTGTTTCGTGATTCAATCGATTAATATACTGCAAAACTTTATTGTAAAATATTCAGAGTGATTTTAACTGATAAAAATAAGTTTTAATCGATTAAAACGTTGTGTAGAAATTTTCTAAGTTGTTTTAATCGATTGAAAAGTGTTTTAATCGATTGAAAAAGCTCTGATCGGTCATAACTCAATTCTGATCGATCATATCTGATTCTGATCAGTCATAACTCAATTCTGATCGATCATATCTGATTCTGATTGGTCATAATTGCATTCTGATTGATCATCCTGAATGTTAAGTGGATTTAATCGATTAAAACCAAGTTGTATCGATTAAAATACTGCAAAAACACTTCTCTTAACATTTTAAGTGATTTTAATCGGTTATTTTGAAGCTTTATCAGTTAAAACATTGACAGAAGGTTTTCAAAACTTTCTTTAATGAAAACAACCGGTTATTTCGAAATTATATCAGTTAAAAACTTGTTTAAGAAAGCTTTTGTTAAAATACTTTGTTTTTAACTGCTTAAACGTTTTTAGAGGCATTTTGCAAAATCTTTTAAGTGAAGAAACCTCATGCAGCAGAAAAGATAAAAATGATTATACCTAAGCATAGTTGCGGACACACTAATCCTTCTATTCTTTTATCTAAGTGACTGTTGACCGCTACAAAGTTGACTTTGACTTTATCTTTGACTTCATCAAATCAACAAGATCTTTGCCAGAGTATTTCAATAAGATCTTCATCACTTTCAAATATCCCTTTCTTTCTTTTCTCTTTACCCTTACCACTACGGCAATCTAGTGATTAACTGGGCAATATGGAAATATAGTGATCAATAGGAGGATTGAAATCCCTAAAGAAGGGAAGGAATGCACTAACATGGCAAGTCATTCTACTATCAAAACAATCTTCGGTCATGGCAAATCCGAGACGGCAAAGTCGGTATAGCTAAGTATGACAGCAAAAGCACATCATCAGCAAAAGCACATCAATTAATCTTTTCGAAAGAATTAACCGATATAACATTATAGGATGCATATCATAAACGTTGCATGCATAGATGTTAATGAATAGGGTCCTATCCTTTTCTTCAAAATAATAATAATAATAAATAAAAAATAATATATCCAAAAATTCGAGACGACCATCTCGATCATAGGGAGTCTTCAAGCCAAAGAAAGCGTGGTCAGGGGACCCACCAACTTCTCAAGCTCCACCAACTCCTCAAGCTCCCACTCAACTAATGCCCCAGCACCAAGCCAGGCTGGATAATATTCACCAGTATGCCTGGTATCCCATGCTCCAGCTAGATTTTGGCATCCTAGCCACATTCGGTTGGGATGAAGATGTAGGGAACTATATCCAAGGCATAGGATGGGATTTCCTGCTAAGAGATCTTCCAACCTGCATATTCCAAAATGCCACCATGGAATTCCTCACCTCCATCACACTGGTGGACATGCCGACTATATACCCTGGGATTCCTCTGATCAAGGCGGTCTCTTACTTCATGAACGGAGCCTACAAAACGACGATGTTAGACGAATTCAATATCCTTATGGGCTTTAACCAGCCCACTGACATCATGATTGTAGAGTACTAGAGTGCACTCTACGAGAGACCGACCACCCTCACGACCGACAAAATCTGGGAGGATCTCACTAGGGCTGAACACGTGCCTGCCCAGCTGAAAGGATCAGCTTTAAGCCCTCCACTCCGTATTTGGCACAAACTGCTGGCAGGGACCATACACGGTTGAAAAGAGAGCCAAGGTAAGATCACTCAACCTGATCTCTTCATCATTTACGGCATGCATAAAGGATACCGGTGCAACCCCAGATACTTTTTCCTAAAAATGCTGAAGGATTTCGGGAGCCGACCAGTAGGGACCATCATGATGACTCCCTTTATCACTCCTCTGGCCAAGCGGTGGGGATGCAACGATGGGGAAGACATGTCCGTAGCCCTCTGACCAAAACTTATTGATGGGTCAATGCTCACTCATATGGGCATGCTCATCCGACAAGGGGCCAGGTTTTCCTTACATCCTGTCCTCGCCATGACACTCGACATCCATGAGCTGGACGAGTAAGAGGAAATCCCCATGCCGCCGGAATTTCAACAGTGGTAATATGGGGATGATATCCCCGGTATCCACCAGCACATAAATAACGAATTCCAAATCATCCACCAGCAGTTGGAGCATTTGACCCTGAGGCAGGACGAGTTCGACCAGAGGCAAGAAGGATTTGGCAAAAGGCTAGACGGACTCACCCAGAGCATGGAAGCAATTAATCAGAATGTGCTCAATTTGATTTGGAGTCAGGAGGAATTCCAACAATTTCCTCCGTCGGAACCTTCCACAGCGTCACACTTAGATCCGGAAGAGTAGGATCCTTGTAGCCTTTATTTGCCAATGGATTGTAAAGGATATATATATATATATATATATATATATATATATAAACAAATTCTCTTTTACTTACCTTTTCTCCTTTTTCTTAGCAAAAGGTTTCATAGATAAAAGAAATTAAAAGGTAAAAAGGCATATGCATTACTTTGAAAAAGCGAAAATGTAAATCGCGAGAAAAAACCGCGGAAAAAGGCAAAATCACTTAAGAGCTTCCAGTAGCCAAAGCTCCAAAGCCACCATCCTTCCACCCAAAGAGAAGGTACATCAACAAAGAAAATCTGACGAAAAGGCTTAGACATCCACAAGCGGATCTTTGCCTACTTCGAAGGTAAAACAAAAAATATTACCCCAAGACTCAGCACTGCCGCCACATGAGTCAGCAAGCACATTCAACAAAATTTCCCCACAGAAAATAAAGGACTCAAGAGAAGAAAATCCTTCATTCCCCAACAGATTCCTAAAAAGAAAAAGCTATAAGAAGAGAAGGCCAATAAACTCCCCAAGTGAGTCACGCAAGAAAAGTAAGGAATCAAAAATTCCATTCCCCTCAACAGAATAAGAGCTTCACAAAAGCCAGCTCGCACCTATATCAATCAAGGAGTCAAAATTTCATTCCCCTAAAGGGTCAACCAAAATTAGATCCCCAGGGAAACAAATAATTCCCCGGTGGATCACCAAAAGAAAAACCTATCCCCAGTGAGCCTACTACAAAGGGCAATCTTCAAATTCATATCCTTAGAGAGTCGTTCGCCTGCGCATATGCAAGACCTTGCAAGCAAGAGCCAACATCCTCGAAGGGAACATCAGTTTATTCAGAGGCACAAAAAATGAAATCAAAAGTCTTCACCTTCAAATGAAGCATTCGCCTACCCAGAGGCATTATCATCATAATTAATAAATCCCCAGTGGATTTTCGCCTACCTAAGATGCACTCATCAAAAAATCCCCAGCAATCAACAAGCTAGATGATTATTGGAAAAATCCAAAACCAAAAATCCCCAACAAGCAACAAGCTGAATGACTATCAGAAAAAGCCAAAATCAAAATATTCCCAGTACACCGAACAA